AAAAATTTTAACTTTTTTTAAATAAAAATTTATAATATATTTATTTTAAAATTATAACAAATAAATAAAATTTTTTTTTGAATATTTACTCAATAAATATCATAAAATTTATTATAAAAATATTAATATTTAAATAAATTAAGGAAATGGAAACTGTTATCAAATCCAGAACTTTATTCAGACTTTTGTACAATTACAAGAGCTAATCAACATTAACTTAATTATTAAGTGGGTGAATATTGAGACATTTTTTTGTCGTATATATCTTACATTTCATTTTGACTAGTTATTTTAAAAATATTTAAAATTATTATAAATAATTTTAATTATTAAATAAAATTGTAGAACTTGAAAAGATAGTAAATATTTTTTATTATTTGATTTATTATTATTATAAAGTAAGAACAGCAGCTAAAATTTTCTGATTTAATAATCTATTGTATCATTAATTTTAGTGATACAGCATTTATTTTATATTTTTTAGAATAATATAACCCGTAAGGTCCCAGCTGAATGATCATCAAAATACTTATCAGGTATACCTTTTTTAGTTATGATTTACTAGAAAACTTTACTTACAAATTTAAATTCATAATTCATAATTTATAATTATATATTTAGGATTAGAAATGATAAATCTGAATCCCTAATCTAAGAGAGTTTTACCTACTCTCCTTTCTAATGAATCGATAGTCTATTTATTGGTTTTTTTTGAAAAAAAATAAATTTTTATATGTTGATCATATAACAATACACAAAAATTAAACAATTAAACAAACAAAACAAATATTATACATTTCTAATATAGATATAATCTACAAATATTTCATAATTAATCTTAAAAACTAATCTTTTTATTAACTAAAATAAGAAAAAAACATCTAAATAAGTAAAATAAGTAAATAAAAAAAATCTTATTATTATTAAAAAAATTTCAAAAATTTTAATCTACAAAAAAAAAAACAAAATAAAACATTTATTTAATTTAAATTTTATATAAAAATATGATAAATTCTTTATTTATTTTAAAAAAATAATAAAAAATTTGCTTTACATAAATCTTAAATAAACTTATTAACATTAAATTCATTTATTTTTATAAATTTTTTTTGCTAAATTAATTACATAAAAATGATTTTTACCTTAACATTTTTATACCAAAATAAGTAAATAAACATCTAAATAAGTAAAATAAGTAAATGAAAAATATAAACAAAATACTATTATTATTAAATTAATTTTTTTTTACTAAATTGATTATATAAAAAAATGTTTTTACTTTAACTTAATAAAGAAATTTATCATATTAAACTTGAAAAAAAAATCAAATTTACAATGCTAAAATTGAAAAAAAAGATCAAATAAAAAAAGAGATCAAATTTACAATGCTAAAAATCGAAAAAAAAATCAAACAAAAAAAAAGATCAAATTTACAATGCTAAACTCGAAAAAAAAATCAAACTGATACAAACTTGATTTAAAAACATGTTTATTTAATTAAAAAAATTAATTTCTCTTGAAAAAATTTCTAAAAAAAAAAATCAACAAAAAATTCCTTTAATCGAAAAAAATAATAAAATCTATTTTTTACTATACAAAAAAAATTTTTCTAATGCTAACTAAATTGAGTATAATATGTTATATTTACAACTTTACTAAAAGATCAACAAAAGAATATAGTATTAAAGAAATTACTGAAATTATAAATTGAGTAATAAAGACCCATCAAAAATCATTTATTTAAAATTAAAGCTTTTGTTTCACTAGATAGAGAAATTAAAAACTATATTGAAGAATTTAAAAATTCTCAAGTAATTTACTTAAGAAGCAAATTTATTAGTTATAATGGTTGGTATATGATATATTATTAACTTTATTTTTAAAAAAAAATTGATATTTTTTTTAATTGAAAATAGAATATTTATACTAAAATTACTATTATACTATTAATTTAGGTAAATGCTACTTTTATTAAACCCATAGTGAATCTTGACTTCGATATAATGCCAGCTGTAGGAATAAATATTATAGTAATAAAACAAACTACACAAACAATTAAAAATGTTGATGGCAAATCAGTTCTTAATTTTTTTGTAGAAAAAAATCTAGGAGAAAGAGAACCAAAAAACTCTAAGTTAGAAAAGAAACATAATTCAAAAATTAGCTATTTGGCTAATAAGATAAATTCTATTAATTAAACCTTAAAGTCTACAATAGCAATTTTAATGAGACTATTCCATTATCAAGAATCTATTATCGATAATGATACAGTAAAAGAAACTACTCCTGGAAAATACATTTTAAAATTAAATGATATATCTTTATTTTCTAATAATCAATCTAATACTTCTAATCAATCTACTGATTTACCATGATTAAAACAAGAAAATATTAGTCCTGGAAAATGTGTACTAAGAGGATCTACTCTGCATCCAAAAAGATGTTATATTACACTTTTACAAGTATCTCCAACTAGACAAATTTGAAGCCAAACATTAACTTTTACATTACAACAAAATTCACTTCTAAATATGAATCAAAATAAATCAAATAATGAAACAATAAATGAATAATTTTTTTTTAATAAAAAATACTCCTTCATAACTTTTTATAAATTTTATCATTTATTTTTTTATAATTTTTTTATTACTTTTATTTTTTTTTATCTTATATTTTTATTATGTAATAAAAAAATTATTTTACTTTACTTTTTTTATTTTTTTATAAATAAAAACAAACCTATATAAATAAAAAAAGGATAAAAGAATTATTATTTTATTATGTAATAAAAAACATTTATTTTTATTTCTTTAATAAATAAAAAGACTAACATATAATAAAATAAATTTTATTTTAATAAAATAAAAACGAATATATTATATAAATAAAAAAAGAATAAAAAAATCTATTGTCATTCTTTTTTTTATGAAAAACAAATAAATAAATAAAAACTTATATAAACCATATAATAAAAATCCAAAATAAACAAATTAATTATAAAAAAATTTACAATATTATGGATTCTTAAATTCATCATATATATACATTTGATAATGAATATGAAATACTAATTGATTTAACAATAAATTAAACTACTATTAATAATCCTAACTTAAATTATTTTTAAAATTATTCAAATCAAAACCTAAATACTTAAAATAATTTACAATTAACATACTGGAGACCTTCTACTAAATTACTTAGATTATATAATAAATTTCAAAATAATATTCTATCTCAATGGCCTTGAATTACCTATGTATACTGTAAAAAACTTTTATATCCTAAAAAAGCAGATTGGATTTTTTATGATCCTTTAATCACATATCCTTATAACAAAATATATCAAATATTACTTTAACTTTTCATCTAAATAGTATTCATACTTTTGAATTATGAGTCCTTACATGTAACTCTTATAAAAACTCATCAACACAATATTCTTTTCCTTATTTATCACATATATTTAAAGAAATATCATCTGTTTCTTTTTATAAAAGAAAACACCTTTTACCTATTTATCTTCATTGTTCTTTAAGAAGAATTCCAAATAGTAATCTATATTCAGAATATAGGAGTCTCGCAAATACAATGAATTATTCTTGTAATATAAGAGCATATGCATTATATAGTGGAATTATAGATGCTTTTTTTAGAATTAGAAAAAATGATAATAATAATAATATAATTCAAAATTCAATTTATGATGAAACTTTAAAATGTGTAGCCTTTTGGTTATCACAAAACAACTAGTATCTTCAACCGTTTGCTCATATCTTATCATCATAACTTTTTAATCATCAAAATAGAAATAATTTATTTTCAAGAACTAGACATATTCAATCTGATACTCAAGTACTTCCAACTAATACTCATGAAATAATAATTCTAAACTATAATTTCTTAATGAAGTTCATAATGAAGATTTTTATTATAACAGATTAATAACAGGTTTTATTCATGAAAATGAATATTTACAGATACCAATTTCTACTCATAATTCTAATTTAGAACTACTATTATTTTCAGATTTATTTATAGATGAAAAAAGTCATTTTTATGATATCTTAGAATAATAAAAATAAAGACAAAATAATAAAACATGTTATGAAATATATGAAAAATATATTAAATAATGATTGATGAATTTTGATCCAAGATGGAAACTTCATTACCATTGGTCATCTTAGTTTTATCTTCAATTAAAAAATTACGATATTATCAAAATATGCAAAGAATATTACAACAAAAACAACTTTAAATTAATAATAATCAAATCCTTCCATTATCTAGATATTTACTTCATCCTAATACTTATACTTCTTATAATATAATTGATAAAAATATAACAATACTTATTCCTACATTTATACATATTGGAGATTCCTATTTTCACCAAAAATAACTTCATCTGAATGCAATGATTAAAAAATGGGATTGCTAATATTATTTATAACCTTAAGCATAGTTAAAAGTTTAATGTATTCACCTTTATAATATATTCTCTAATAGTGATAATGGTAATACTTTACCTACAAATAGACCTTTTCATTATGCTAATTATTTTGTTCACAAATTTAAATCTTTGAAAAATGAACTTTATAAAAAATCAGAATTAACAGACTTTGGAAAGATAATAGACTTCTTTGATCGAGTTGAGTTTTAAAATAGAGGTGCTACTCATACGCATAATTACTACTGAACTACTAATAGTATTAAAGAAATGATTAATAATAATGTTATATATTAAAGCCGTGATCAGTAACTGTGCTAAAATAAAATCATGTGATCTAAATGATCAACATAGTTGACGAAGTTGACAAAGTTGCTAAAGTTATCAACATTGATCAAGTGGATATATTAGATACATGAATTATATTTTTATATTTATTAATTATATCTTATTTATTATATATATTTATCATAGTTATATTATTTGTTCTCTTTATCATATTTGTTATAGTTGATTTTATATTATTTCATTTTATATAAATATCTTATATTTTCTCTTGAGTTAAAAAGTAACTCAAGTTGAGGTTTTAGGATAAACTAAGAGTTCAATAAAGGAATTGTTAAATTTATTTACTATTGCCTTTTGTCGTATCTTCATATAGGCATGATTGTAATATTATCCTGTATTTAATTTGACGGATTGAATTAAAAGTTTATCGTTTAAGTTTACAGATACCAAGCCAATAATGTTTAACTATACCAGATCTAACATATGAACCTGAACTTTATACTGCAATTGTAGCTAATCAAATATAGACTTGTAATGAAAAGTGTAAAGGTCTTGCACCTTTAGGACAAACTTGTAAAAAAGGATTTTTATGATCTTATTGTAAAATAACTCATTATAAAGAAAAAAACTCTTAATATATTTATAAATGTCTAACAGAAGCTGATTTATTGGTTGTACTATATCACCCTGCTATTCTCTTATTCTGAGATACATATATGAATGTATAATATATAACAGATAAAGGATTTGCTAGATATATAAGTAAATATATCGTAAAAAAAGAACTATCTCATATATTTAATGTTTAAGAAAATGATTTATTAAGAGAATATATTATAACACAAAAATCAGTTCTATGGAACTTATATTTCTTCTACTTAAACATCAAATTTGTAATTCTTCTACTACTGTAAAATTTTTAACTACTGAACCACCAAATATAAGAACTTAAACTATAATTCCAATTATATAATAGAAGATGATGATAAAAACCCATATTATGATAATAATATTATAAAATACATAGTCTATCCTTATTTTTCTGAATTTAATAACTTAACATATCTTTAATATTTTGAAAAATATTTTATTATACCTTCATTATCTGCTTTTACATCATGTCAAATTTATCATGATAAACTAGGTAATTATATTATAAAACATTCTAAAGAAATAGTTATTAGATATTAATTTTTAAAAATTGAAGATTGTAAACCATATTTCTATCAATAATTACTCTTAAAAATCACTGCAAGAAATAAATCTGATTATAGAAAAACATCAAATAGTTCTTATTATGAAAGTTTTTATCATTATTTCCTAATTTTTTATTTGAATTTTAAAATCAAATTACAAATACTTAACAATCTCATATAATACAATTAAATAATCAATTTTTTGAAATGTTATCTAGATTACTATCATTACTTAATTAGCAACTTCTATCAAATCTTTCACATATAATATAATTACAAATAAATGATTTAAAATTACTTTCTTATATATTTCCAGAAACTGCAATTTTAAAATTATCACAAGATTAATATCATATTTTATCTACTATTAGAATGTATTTAGAAAAAAATGATGGTAGAAAGTAGCTATACTTTTTTATAACTATTTTGCTAACATTAGAAAATCCTATATTATACATATGATTATTAATTTATTTAAGCAAAGATATTCTAATTATTTACTTTTGACACTTATAAGAGTAGCAACTTAAAATATAGGTGGTAAAATAATACATTCTGAATTAAGAATTATAAATACTTAAAGAGGTTTCAATATTCATGTTCATACTGATAATAAATTTAAATCTAAATTAAAAAATATTGATCTGTAATTATTGAAGAAATCTCTATAATTTTAGCTGAATTATTAGATTTTATTTCAAATACTTTTGCAAGTCTTCATAATAATGTTATAACCTTTAGTGGTATAAATGTTATAGTAGTAGATGATCTCGCACAACTTTCTCCTATTACTAGTTAACAAGTATTTAGAGCTGCTACTTGGTCATTATTTTTTCCATTATTTTTAAAATCTCCACAACGACAAAATAATGATCAAATATTTTATCAAATCTTATAAGAAATACATGGTAATATCTTTACTGAAACTTGAAATATCTTATAATAACATTATTCTGAATTTTTAACTAGATCTATAATTGAAACATTATTTAATACTACCCATATAATTGGATTTAGAGAAAATATACAAATAATCAATATAACAATCTATAATACACTTCCTGTTTCTAATAATAAATTTTTACTTTCACAAGCTTCAGATTTTGTAAACTCTATTCATTAGAATATCTCTTTATAATAAAATATTTAAATCAAAAACTAATCTGTCATTCTATATTAGATTACAACCTGATGTATGTATTATGTTTCTTAATAATTCTCTTATTGATCAAGAAATATACAATGATATAATGGGTTTAATTATTAATATAAATCCTTTAGAACTAAGTGTATGAGTTATCTTTTCTATTTAAAGTTCTATAATAGACTTAAATATTTATAAACAAATTCATTATTTTGAAATCAATAGAAACAATTGCCATCGAATTCAATTTCCTTTACAAAATTATTTCACTCTTACTGTTTACAAATTTCAAGAATTAACTTTACCTAAAGTCACACTTGCTCTAAATGGAAATATATTTTCAACTGGTCAAACTTATGTTACTCTTAGTAGATGTTCTAAATAGAATAATATAAATATTTCTCATCTTGATAGATCTGCTTTTATGACTGATCCTGATGTATTCTAAAATACTAATGATTAGAAACTATATTTAGAACAAATTCCCTATTTTTATAATTTACTCATTAATAATTATTTACTTATCTTAATTAATAACTAAATTTATTTTAATAAACATTTATAATTTATATAAAAAAAATAAATCTTTTCACAATAAAAAAAATTATTTTTTCTTTATTTTATATTTTATAAATAAAAAAATAATATATAATTTCATTTATTATTTATTTACTAATATTTATAAAATATTTATTTATATTACTGATTACTAATATTTATTTTATTTTTTTACAACTCTTTTCATCGATCATCAAAACCAAAAAATGACTGGAAAAAAAACCGCTCGTAATAACAACTTCACACCTTACAAAGCTTGCTCTTCTCCTATGAAAAATGATCAACAACAATAATACCCAGTTAAGAAATAATATATTGAACCACCAAAACAAACTGAAACTTTAAACGCCTCTGGAAATACCTCTAACAGCTCTACAGATATAAAAATTAAGACTTCGCTTCTTAATATCTTAGACAAAGGAAAAGGTCCTGAAACTTTCAACAAAGATGATAACATTTTCTTTGATGAGAACCAAACCTTTGATGCTTCTGAAAATGGTCTCAACAACAAACAAAATAAAATAAATGAAATCCACTTAGAGCGCAAACTGAAGCCCTAATCTACTTCGCTTACTGCGCTGCAGATAAGTTTTACCCTGAAAAATCTAACGGAAATAAACAAAATGAAGCATGTGATATTTTTGCATCACACTACTCATCTTTCATTGGTGTCTCAATTCGTACTCACCCCAAAAATTTAACAAAGAAAATCGTTTGAATTGGTTTTACCTCACATGTTGAAGCAAATAATGCAATTACACTCAAACTTCCATGTTTGGAAAATGACACATTCTTACCCTTACAATCAGACCAATAGCTAAATACGTCCCTAAGTTATTGGTCCGTCTCATCAAGATCCCGATCTCTACTACTGAATCAATATTAAATTGACCTTTTCCTTTTTAGAAAGATCTCCCGTTGCGTCATGTTCACTAAAAACCTTTAGCAACAAGCCACTTTCACATTTGAATAAGACACAGATATGACTACCTTAAACAAACTTAACAGCTATTTTGTCCTTAAAAACTTAATCAGAGTATACCTATGTACTATGTCAGTTGATGATATTAGGAAAAAATCAGAATTTTCTTTGAAACTAACTAACCTCCCACTTGATACAAATGAATGCCACCTAATCTCTATCAGTAATACTGTTAAAGTGATTACCTAGGTCATTCTTAAGTCACGTGCCAATCACAGAAATCTACAATATGCCATCTTCTACTTTAAAACTAAAGAATCTATAGAAGCAGCAAAAAATGGAGAAACTTATTTCCTTAATAGAAAATGATTAATCTAGACTGATCCAAATGCAAAAATTTGCTTCATCTGCCAAGTTCTAGGTTACTAATCGCAAAATTGTCAAAAAAATCGTTCAGCCCTACAAAACTGACAAACTCAATACTTATACTAACGTTACCAACCTGCACAGTTTCGTAATTACAAAGCACCTGTTGTTGTACCTAAACCACCACTTCACCCTAAGAAACAACAGACAACTGATAAACAGAAACTTAATCAACAACAAAATAATGCCAAAGATAAATCTAAGCCAGACAACGTTATCACTCTACCTAATCGTCAAACAAAAATTTTTCAGACCAGACCACTAAATGAAGATCAAAACTAATAACGTACCACTTTCATCTGTCCCATCAATAATAAAGGAGAACAAACTTTAGATGCTAGTATACATGCATCACACCGCTGGGCTGATGAAACTGATGACGAATTTCGCATACTAAATGATATCTCAAACCAACTATCCCAACCAGAACTGCTCACTTGAATTTCCAATCAACTGTTAACTATCTCTGAGCAACTAGCAAAAATGGATTCAGAATTCCGCTCAACTGCGGATTGAGTTGCTACAGTTGAAAAAGTTCTCAACATCAATGTCCTACTCCTCCACCAAGCAGATTCACTAAATAAATCATTTAACGAAGATGGTATGGAAACTGAAAAACATACCTATGTTGCTGGTACCTGTACAAGTGATAATATTGTTGCTAAACAATCTGCTAAACTAATTACCTTAAGAGATGAGAATGCTCTCCTCAAAACCAACTTTGAAAATAATATAATTAAACTCAATAATGCAGGACGTGCCATTGCTAACATGCAAAGAATCTTACAAACACAACTTAAAATCAATCCAGACGCCTTTACTGCTATTGAAGAAGTCGCTCCTCCTTCTAGTTATGAAAAATCAGTTGACGGTATCTTTATCCCCTACCCCCAAATATTTTTAATGATTGATAATTCATAGAATTATAAACGGGTTAGTTCTAATGACCCGATAGCAAACTACAGGATAATAAATACTAACAATACCCAAAATTTATTTTCGACTAACCATACATTATCTTCTCGACTCAACATTATGATACACAATGTTCGCTCTTTTGTTCAATCACAAAAACAACAATTTTTGCTCAACACTTACGAAATTAAATCATATAGATATAATAGGCCTTCAAGAGATAAATTTTAAATCAACTAATAATACCTTAGCTTTTCGAAATCAACTTCGTCTCAATATTCGCATTTTTTCAACTTCAATCAAAAGTCACAGAATTCAGGTTTCAGAGTTGGCCTTCTTATAAAAAAACATATTGCCGATCATATTTACAAACATTACGGTTAACACGAACACTATATTTTTGTCAATTTTTAATTTTGCAACGAATTTCGCATTAGATTAATTAACTGCTACATATCAAGTTCGAATATAGCCCTTTGAGAACAAACATATAAAGAAGTATGCACCGTCATTAAATCAGTGATAGACCTCAATATAGAAATCATTTTACTAGGAAATCTAAATGCGGTCCAGATCGTTCTAATAATATGTCAAAAGCTAATTATTTCTTCACCCAACTTGAAGACTTTCAACTTTTCAACTCATTTGATCTTCTACATGATAATGCTAATCAACTATTCCCATCATTCTTTCATGCTACGTATCATTAACCTTCAAGAATCAATCATATTTACACTACATCACATATTGCAGTAGGCCTTAACAGAACCTAAACCATCAGCATAGACCCTAACATTTCTGACCATTCGATAGTTTCTGTTAATTTAATATAGCTGAACTTACTACTTCAAATAACGATAAAAAACGCACTAAAAAAAAGATTTACCTTTATGATGCCATAGACGAAAACACTTAAACACAATTTGGTAAAAAATGGATGGTTTCCTTAGTAGCTGTCAACTATCCAACCTCACTCCTAATAGATTACACTCAAAATATGCCCTCAATTTCTTCTGGGATCTTATGCAAGAATGTATCGAAAAAGCAGCAGAAAAATATATACTGTCAAAGTACTCATCTTAATATTTCTGTGACCTCAGACCAAGATTATTAAAGAATCTTTATAAACAATTGGTTCTTATACAAAAGTTTCATCGTACAACAAAAAAATGCATTCGCCTCAATTCCATATTGGTAAACTGGTCTTAAACATACAATACAGTTTTGATATCACGTTAAAATACAATTTAGACTGGTTACATATTGGCATTTTACAACTCTCTGACCTTACCACAATCAAGCAGAATACTTCTGAGTTACTTAAAGTCCATTTGATTGCGATCAAATTGGAAGAAGACAAACATAAAATGAAATAAATTAAAGCAGCTCTCTAACGCAGATGTGATAATTTTCATGATGATCAAACTAAGATGTACAACTCTATACTTAATAGACAAAGACAAACTATTGTTCTGGACAGATGCCTTGACAACTCACCAGATGATCTTAGTTTACTTAACTCAGCTGATGATGTCAAACGTGAAACTAACTGACATTTCTAACAAACAACAGGTACCAGACACCATTTTGTTCTATTGCCTGATAACTGAAAAAAATAGTACGAACCCATAGACATAATTGATCCTTAGATTTATCACAACCTTATGGATCCACCAAGTGAAGACGAATGGAACAGTCTTCTTTAAACATTACCTAATGATAAGCTCCTGGTCCTTCCAAAATTTCAAACGAGATGTTGAAACATCTAGACCCTAAAATGAAACATAGTTTTTGGATTTTCACTTGTGCCTGTCTGAAACTTTCTTGCATGCCAGACAGATAGAATTTAACTTTTGTCTATCCCATCCTAAAACCCAAACTATGGGAATATAACTTAAATAATACTCACCCTATTACTTTGCTAGAATGCCTTAGAAAAGCAATCGTAAAATTAATCAACAAACGGCTTTTAGATATTCTTTCAAAAAATTCTGTGTTACAAGGAAACAATTTCGCTGGATTATCATTTCATTTCACATTCGAACCAATTCACATTCTTGATAACATAAAATATGATCAACTATCACATAAAAGTAAACAACTGTGGATCCTATTTCAAGACATGTCTAAAGTTTATGACAGAGTTAATATCGCAATATTAACTTGTGCGCTTAATTGTCTACGCCTTCCTCTATCGTTTCTCCATTTTGTACTTTCCTTATTCTCTAATCGCTTTAATCAAATTTTCACAGCCTATGGAAATACAGATCATTACCCAGTTATCTCAGGTATTGATCAAGGTGAAATTATTTTACTAATTCTTTAGTGTATATATTACGATCCCTTATTATATCGCATACAAAATACCGATCTTGGTTATAATCTATCAGCTGAATGGTATCCACATATCAGTAATACCTCAACATCTACAATTTCAACACAAGTCTCTACACTTGCCTACATGGATAATACCCTTTGGATCAGCAATTCTAAGGATGATCTTGAATCAATCTTAACAATTGCTAATGATTTTTACCAACTTAATAGTATCCTAGTTAACTGGGATAAATCTGTACTACTTTTTTCAGTACCGATAACATCATCCATACACTTTAGACTAGCATATAATGAAGAATAGATTAAACCAATAGACCTTAAATCATCTACATATTATCTCAGTATTTGGATCTCTCTCCTTCCAAATTGCGCATTTATACGACAATAAGTAAAGAATGAAATTCAAAATGCTACTTTGACCATAAAAAAGAAATTCTTCACAGATAAACAACTCAAAGTAGTCTTTAACTCAGTCCTCTTACATAGAATTCTGTATCGCATTCAATTAACATTTCTCGATTACAAATTTTGTGATCAGATTATGGGATCATATCAAAAAGTTTTTAGGTCAATTCTACATTTATCTAAAAGTATTCTAGCAACTATTATCCATTCGTCATTATTTTACAATATTACACACTTATATACAGCGCAAATTCAAGTAAAAACTTCCAACTTCATCAAATCTATCAATGACAAAGATTTATTAGATACTACATCTCTGATTCGTGCTAGAACACTTCAAAATAATGAATGGCTTACTAAGTCACCTCTAGCATTTTGACCATATGATGACTCCTTTAAATTTAAAGACTGGTGGTCTGCTTTGCTCTCTGCCCTAAAATTACTTAACATCACCATCTCCAATAGTAATACTGAGGCTAATTGTATAAAAGGAAGACAATTTCCCTTATGTGAGATTTTCACAAAAAAAGATTATTGCACCTTTGCTCCAGTTTTAAAAAGCAAACAACTTATGTTTCTTGACTAGATTACAACATCAGATGGTGCAGCACTCTTCACATCATCTGATCTCAAATTTTTAGCAGCTCGTCTAGCAATCCCTAAAGCTCCTGTTTAGTTTCTCAAATTACAATTATTACTTATATTATCACCTAATACAAGAATCCTTCCTCCAAAATATCACCGTCCACACACTAATAATATATACTCGATTCCTCTGACCCATATTAAAAGTACCACACACTTTGCTGTAGGTTGATACTTAAATTCCCATTTTGCAATAATCAGAAAGATACTCTGAATTGAAAATGATATAGTTCACTTACAACATTTTTTTGCATTGCCAGACTATACCTTTAAAACTTTATTGCTACTATGCAATAAATGCTCTTTCAATAATGATTCTTCCTTTGTTTCTTCTAATATAAGAAATAAACATAAAGCTTGCTTTGTGATATTATCTTTATACCTATATGCTGACATCAAAGCTCCTCTCTTTCCAACTGTTGGTCATATCTGTTTTTTGTCCCCTTACATGCTTTATGAAATTGCCTTATATAGTTACAATTTAATTAATAATAGTACACTTAATGTCCCCCTCTTCTTGTCCTCTCTATCTCTTACACTTGGAAAAATTTTTAACATAGAAATTCTTAGTAGTTTAGATATTCTTAAAAGTTACTTCATATAATCAATTAACCTCTCCTTCTATACTGATGGTTCCCTTATCAATTTAGGTACTTCTTCAATCCATATAGGCATGGCTTAGTTGCAATCTGATCCTTCAACACCTTTAATACTACACTCATCCTTTCTCAACCTTCGTTTTCTCTAGCAGAATTAGTAGTGGTATTAGCTGCTTTATATGTAGCTCCTAAACATGCTGCAGTTAATATTTTCACAGACTCACAAAATTTCATTTCATCCTTTAATAAAATTAACTACTTCTATACCTTCTCTCCTACCTTTATCCCATTTTTAAAATCTCCTTTTACCCAATTTGGTTTCTTGTCATAAAGTTAATCAGAGAAAAATCCATTTTCATTGAACTTCACAAAGTCAAAGCTCATTCAAATGATCATTATAATAATATAGTTGATGCATTAGCAAAAGCTGATGATCTCTCAATTACACTAAACTGCAAAACTTTAGGATACTATTATAACCTATATTTTAATGAAGATATTATACTTGTTTCACCTAGATTGTTCGTGAAAGATCTTCTCAGATCAATTGACTTTCATAATATACAACTACTTTCACACTTTAAGAAATACAACACAATGGATGTTGATTAGATACGAACTTCTTTCATCCTCAACGATAATGAAAATAATTCATATACATCCTTCAAACCCTCTTCCACTCACAAGTCAAAATCGAACTCATGCTTGAACTGCTCCTGACCTTAGAAATCCTTAAGATAAGACACTCAAATCTATATAATCAATCATGGAATTGTTCTAGATATTCGTGTACTTATAAAACTTTTAATCACGTTTAGACTTGTGCAAAAGTGAACACCAATTCATTGACATTATATCCTCAACCAAAAGGTTTTTCATACATCATCTTATTACATTTACTTCAGAAAATCAGGATTTTACGGATCTTCTAGATTTATCTATCTGATCCTTAAATGATTGATATGACTCTCTTAACTTTATTGACTTGATCAAAGAAATTGTATCTCTTTTCCTGTTCAATAATACACATCACCTTATTAACAACCTCCAATTAACAAATGGCCTTTTATCTTCTACTTACCATTATATATTCGCCCAAATAAAATCCATATGGCTTAATCATTGTAATGATATCAAGAATTTTGAACACCTCAACAATATCTTACTTAATGATCGAAAACTACATTTCACCAATACCAGCTTTCCTTCATCATCGTCATATGATTTTAGTATTCCTTCATACTTTATTTCCTCCTTTAGATTTAATACGAACTGGTTGAATTTTTAGATCAGTAGCAACCACGTTCCCTGTACTAGATGGTTGAACCTATCCTAGATCTATTTGGGTAAGTTAGTCTGGAACAGTGCAAGGTTGATTTTGATTTGGTTTTATTGCTAAATAGGAATTTTTGTACTCTCTATTTTGTAATTTGTAATTTTGTAAAATTTTACTTTACTTCTAAATAAAGATTGTGCAAAGTTACTGCATGTAAAAAAAAAAAAAAAATAAAAAAATTTATTTTATT